AAGATATTTAATTTGGCTAGCTACATATTTTTCAGCAATCCCTTACACGGAATTAGAATTTCAAAGCACATCTCTCCATTCTCATTAAACCTGGAAACCATACAAGAAAAATCAATATTATGTCCTGCTCATCCACTATTATCCTAAGAGGTCCTCGTCTTCCTTTCAACTGATACGCATATTAGAAACTTCTCTTGGCGTCATAATTCATCATCGAATTATTCTTACATAAATAAGATATAGACTTCTCCCCCAGTCAAGTGGCCATCTAGAAACCAATATGAACATTGCCGCGTTTGGAATTTGAACAAATTTTCTCCACTTTTCCATTCACCTTTCCCGGAAATTGCCTTCCCCTTACAATTTTCTAGTTTTTAATAATTACCATTCCCACAAACACTATATATCAGCCCTGTCGCCCTGGATCTACCACAACCTATCACATCATTTCTTCAACTCTCAAAGAAAACAGGGAAACAGAGCAAAAAAACAGAGATACTTTTTTTTTTTTTTGGGAAAGGCAAAAAAACAGAGATACTAGGAAAAACATTTCCTTTGTTTGATTCTGATATACAAAGAAAAATGGCTGAGAAGACCCAGCAAGGGTATCCGCTGGCTCCGGCGAATGGCTACCCGAGGAGTGACGAAGAGGCAGCGAGCATCCAGGCCATGGAACTGAAACGGAAGAAAAGAATCAAATGGGCAGTCTACATCGCCGCCTTTGCGGTGTTCCAGACCATCATCATCCTGGTTTTCGCACTGACTTTCATGCGCATCAGGAACCCTAAGGTGAGGTTCGGTACAATCGACATCCAAAGCTTCCAAACCACCTCCCCTACAGGAGCTTCCCAGGCGTCATTTGACATGAGATTCATCGCACAAGTTACAGTAAAGAACACGAATTTCGGTCACTACAAGTTCGATAACAGTACTATGAAGTTTTTGTACGATGGGGTTGAAGTAGGACAGGCAATCATACCCAAGGCCAGGGCTAGGGCTCGCTCGACCAAGAAGTTGGATGTAACGGTGGAACTGAAGTCTAATGGGTTGACGAATACTTCTACGCTCGGAACAGAGCTGAGTTCCAATGTGCTGACGTTGTATAGTCAGGCCAAGGTGACCGGAAAAGTGGAACTGATGAAGGTGATGAAGAGGAAGAAATCGGCGGAGATGAAGTGCACTCTAGTCTTCAGTTTGCAGACTAAGACGGTCCAACAATTGAAGTGCAAGTAGATCAAAATATGGGAATTTCGGTGTATTTTCTTAATGCTTGTTCCTCTATCATGCCTGATTTGAGTGCATTCCCGCCTTCCACTTGATGTGACATTTTCATCTTATTTTTATTTTTTTTATTATTGTTGATTTTACAGAAATAAATATAAAATTATCTATTACTATTTGTATA